TGCCAGCCATGAATCTAATAGTGAGGTGTGGCCCCAGAGGAGTCCCAGCTTTCTGTCCTGGAACCCACTGAACCTCCATGAGTGTGGCCCCTCTATTCACAGAAACGGCTTCTGGAAGGGAAGGTTTGTTTCGGTTTATGGCTTCAGAGATTTCATGGGTCATAGTGGGGAGGTTCGGGGCTGTGTGTGGTGACAGGGGTGTTTGGCCCTCAGCCCCAGGAGCAGAGAATGCAGGAGTCAGGGAGAGGCGAAAGCTTGGAAGGCCTGCCCTTTATGATTTACTGCTGAAGGCTAGGCCCTAGTAGGAACCTAACCCTCACAGCCTGCAAAGCTGGAGACCAAATGCTGAAAGCCTGAGCCTATGGAGAACAGCTCAGATTCAAACTGTATTTGCCCATGTCCCCCAAATACTTTCCATAGCTGTCTGCTAATGCAAGATGAACTTAGCTCCTCCTGAAGTCTCCATAGTTTAACAGTCCAAACACTGCTCTGAGGTCCTGGCTCAGCTGGAAGCTGCAGCTCAGCAGTAGAGCAGTTGCCTGTTGGGAACAAGGTCACAGACTTGATCCCTGAGATCCCTCAGGGCTGAGCACAAGAACACTCAAGTCCAGGGTATCTTCTGAGGCTCCAGGCAAGATCAAAAAACTGTTACAAAATTCCAGTATACAAGGACACAGTAAACATTCCCAGGGCAGACCACAGTAGGAGTTGTAAGGAAAGAGCCAGCCAGATCCTATAGTTGTGTGTCTGGCATCTGAGGCGTGGTGGTGGTGGTGGTGGTGGTCCTAGGTCCTATAGTTGTGTGTCTGGCATCTGAGGCGTGGTGGTGGTGGTCCCAGGTCCCACCTGCTGGGCTTTGCCATTTGCCGCGCGTGTAGCCTGGACCTGCTTCACTTGATGCCTGCAGCTTCCCTCAGCAGACATCCTACATTCCTGGCATCTCCAGCACCCTAAAGTCTCCAATGTGACTTAAGTGATAACAACCACAGTGTCCCTCACAGCCCAGTCTACCTTCGGGCCCTGAAGGAAATCTAACCCTGCAGTGCGTTGCCTGACCTTCCTTGCTTTTCTTTTGAACCATCACCCCACCACTCTTCAATTCTGCAAACCTGCAAGCTAGTGCAGCACGGATAGGGTCACATTCGTCAGCAGATGTAGTTGGGCCCTTGTGAACTGTGGCTGTAGTGTCCTCTGAGAGCCTATGTAACAACATTTTCTAGACAACCCCTTTCTATCAGTGTACCCCTTTGGCTGTCTCTGATTGATTGACTGATTGATTGATTGAGACAGGGTCTTTGTATATTAACCTGAGTTAGAATCCTCTTGCTTCAGCCTCCTGAGTGCTAGAATTACAGGGATGTACCAGCATTGCCTTTTCTAACCTCCACCCCTGACCTTATTAGTTATTTGTTTGTTGTTTGTTGTTTTTGTTCCTGACTGTCCTGGAACTCACTCTTTAGACTAGGCTGGCCTCGAACTCATAGAGATCTGTCAAGTGCTGGGATTAAAGCGATGTGACATCCATGGCCTTTTCTTTCTTTTCTTTTTCTATTTTTTTTTCTTCTTCTTCTTCTTCAAAATAGGGTTTCTCTGTATAGCTCTGGCTGTCCTGGAACTTGCTCTGGAGACCAGGCTGGCCTTGAATTTACAGAGATTTGCCTGCCTCTGCCTCCTGAGTGCTGGGATTAAAGGCGTGCACCACCTCTCCCTGTTAAGCTTGTGCTATCTTACAGTGACCAAAATCAGACAAGCAAACCATTCAAAACTAAAGATATATGTCAGAAAGATGCAAGTTTTGAGGCTGGAAAGATGTCTCTGTTGGCAAAGTATTTTCTGTGCAAACATAAGAAAAACCCAAGTCCAGTCCCTTCTGCCCACCTAAAAGTCAAATACACATTTGTCATTGTAGAGCTGGGGAGCCCGAGACAGGAGGGTGGATGCCAGGAGCTGGCCAGCCAGTGAGCAAACCCCAGATCCTCTAGGAAACCTCATTCCAAATAAAGTAAGTGCACACACAGTTCAAGGCTTGTGACAGATGACTGGTAGAGTTCTTCTTGGCCTGCTAGGAAGTCCCTAATGCTTCTTCCAAACTCCCCAAGCCGTGGAGTCAGCCACTGTGTCATTTACACTCATACATACTCTGGGTTTACGCTGCAGAATGAATCTGTACAAGATAGGTGACCACGCCCACACCCACTCTCCATACTGTTTCTAAGCCATACCGTTGCTCCCACAGTAGAAACGGTGGGAATGGCCTGGTGACTACATAGCACAGCATCCCTGTGGATGAGGCACGGTGTTGCTCTGCTGTAAATAGACACCCTGGCCATCTGCAGTTGTTCTTGGGTTTTTTGTTTTTGCTCCTCTGTAGACTAAAAAATAACTTTAGAATTTTAAAGTAGATACTTTTGAAGGTAAAATAGCTTAAAAGTTCCAGGAATTGAAGCTCCTAATACTTGACCTTGTGATCATTTATTAATTTGCTTCCAACAATTTATTTTACCTCATTTTCAGCTTTAAGCATCTCATAAACATTGTAGGGGGTCATCATATGGAGGTGTTCTTTAAAGCATTCTGTAGTCCTGGAGATGGCTCAGTGGCTAAGATCATTGCTTGCTCTTCCAGAGGACCCTGGTTCAGTTTCTAGCACTTACTTGGTGGCTCATAACTGTCTGAAACTCTAGTCCCAGGTGATCCGTTGCACCCTTCTGGCTTCCATGGGCACCAAGCATACACATGGTACACAGACATAAATGGAGTTCTTAATTGTCTAAATAGTAAAAACCCAGAGTCGGATATAGAGGGAAATGCTGAGAGATCAGAGGGAAGGAAGAGTAGCCACAGCCACCTTTACCTCCTTAGCTTCCCAGTGGAAAAGAGAGTAAGTCCCTGTTTCTTCCCACTATAGCCTCTCTCCACACGCCATCTCACTTCCTGTTTCTGCCCAGCCATCTCACTTCCCGTCTGTCTGTACAAACCTCCTGCCTCTATGGTTAGCTAGTGGCAAGCTCCATCCTCTGATCTTCAGACAGGGTTATTTGTACAAGCAAGGTATCACCACACAGAGATATACATACAAGCCAAACACTCATACACAAAAAATAAAGTTTTTAAAATTTAAAAAAATTTATTTAAAAACCCCATTTTTAATTCAAACAGTGCAAATAATTGTTGACTTCTGTGTTGGTCAATTTTTGTTTGTTTGTTTTTTGTTTTTTGTTTTTCGAGACAGCTTTTCTCTGTGGCTTTAGAGGCTGTCCTGGAACTAGCTCTTGTAGACCAGGCTGGTCTTGAACTCACAGAGATCTGCCTGCCTCTGCCTCCCAAGTGCTGGGATTAAAGGTGTGCCACCAACACCTGGCTTGTGTTGGTCATTTTTAAGAGGAGACCTGTATACAATAACAAAGCACTTGTGTGCTGAGGTAGTTCACAGAGCGTAGAGATGAGATAGTCATGCAGCCTTGGCTCACCTGGGCATTAGCATAGCTCTCTGGTAAAAATGGAGGGCCTGGGCTGGAGAGATGTCTCCTTGGGTAAAGGCACCTGCTGCCACGCCTGCTGACCTGAGTTTGATCCCTGGAATCCACATGGTGGAAGGAGAGAATCAGCTCCTGCAAGTTGTCTCTGACCTACTTGTGTGCACAGGCACACGTGTAGAGCACACGTGTAGATACGTAATAGAAGAAAAGAAACAGCCTTGTGGGATTTGCTGCGTGCCACGGTAGTGCACTGCTGCAAGTGGAGTGAGGTAAGCATGTTGCTAATGCCAGTCTCAGCCGATTCGCCAGGTGTTCAGGCTGTGTGGCTTGTCAGTAGGATCTCACGTGCTGTAAGTTGCCACTGTGGGAACCCTGATTTCTTTAAGGAAAAGATTTCCAGAGCACCCACAGCCTCTCCCTGTCCCCCTCCTCCCTCACACAACACCCTTGGCAGTGGAGACTTGCCCTCTGGTCTAAGAGCAGACAGTGCTCCTGAGCTCTGAGCATCCTCTCCGGCCCCACGCCCTTACTTGTTGATAAGGTGCTTTGATACACAGAGCTGCTGAAATTTGGAGTTCAGCTTCTTATTTTTATTTTGTGCTTTTGAGGTCCTATCTTAAGAATTTGGTATATCTTGTTAAATCTGAAATTACAGTGCATCATGATTTTAACAATTATATTTAGGTTGCTAGTCCATTTCGAGTTTAGTGTTTGTATCTTATCTAAGGAGTCCAATGAGAACTTTTATTGTTAATGATGAATTTCATGGCCTGTCCATGTTACAATTTTTTTTTAAGATTTTATTTATTTATTATGTATACAGCATTCTGCTTCCATGTATATCTGCACACCAGTAGAGGGCACCAGATTTCATAACGGATGGTTGTGAGCCACCATGTGGTTGCTGGGAATTGAACTCAGGACCTCTAGAAGAGCAGTTGGCGCTCTTAACCTCTGAGCCATCTCTCCAGCCCCCCATGTTACAATTTTTAAGTATATACAAAGGATATTATTTGAATGACAAATGTTCCTCACAGACTGTGTTTGACATTTGGCCTCAGCTGGTGGGACTGTTTTGGAAGGTGTGGAACCTTTTGGACATGGGCCTTTCTGGCAGGTACTGAGCTCCATTTGTCTCTGCTTCTTGGCCTATGGAGATGTGAACTGGCGCCTTTTGCTTCCACTGGCATGGGACCACCCAACGGTCATGGCTTCCCTGCCGTGATGAACTGTCCCTTTTTGTAAGCCAGGAAGAAAACAAGCCCTACTTTTCTTGTTGGGTATTTGGCCATGGCAATGAAGAAAGATCTGTACACACCAGCTAAAACCAGCATGGATGCTATGGAATTTTCATTACCACAGTAATACATCATGTTACTCAAATCAGAACTTAACATTTTTCGAAATAGCGCTTTAAGTATATGCTGTTAGTGTGGACTCAGTGTCAGTGCTGCAGATGAACTCAAGCACACTTCCCAACTCTGTGGTCTCTTTGTATTCTTCGCATGACAGATTTCATCAGGACAAGGAGACGGGAATTAAGGATGACAATTGAATTTCCAGGAGCCCCCCAGGTGGGAAGGGAAGAGTGCTGGGAGGTCAGTACCCACAAGGCCTTGTGGCATCTGTGAGGGCCAGAGAGGCAGAGCCCTTTGCAGCAGGAAGGGTACTGCCGGTGAAAGGGGCACTTAGGACAGGGCGGGAGGCTCAGCAGTCACCAGAATGTGAAATAGCGTCATCGTCATCGTCTGCGCCTTCACCTGGGAATCCTAGAGAGTGCCGTCACCAGGATGCTGGTTAAGGCTCAAGGAGTAACACTATAATCTTTGAAGATTTTTTAAACTTCTGTATATGTGTGTGGGTATGTACACATGAATGTGTTGCCTGCCGAGTCGAGAGGAAGGTGTTGGATCCCCTGTGTTACAGGTGGCTGTGGGCTACCCACTGTGAGTGCTGGCAGTCAGACTTGAGTCCTCGGAGAACAGCAAGCACACTAATTGCTGAGCCATTTCTCTAGCCCTGTCTTCCTGTTATTCCCCCACCCCCCATAGCTCTGGCTGTCTTGGAACTCACTATGTCATCTTTCTGTTCCTCCTCATCCTCATCCTCATCCTCATCTCCAGGCAAGCTTTTTTTATTATATCATAAACAAAATATCACCACAGAGGACCCAGGTTCAATTCCCAGCATGAACGTGGCAGCTCAGAGCTGTTTGTAATTACAGTTATAGGGGATCCAACGTCCTCTTCTGGCCTCTATGCACATGGTGCACAGATGAACTCTGTACACATAAAATGATCACATTTAAAAAATAAAATAACTAAAAAGAACTCCATGGTCAGCTATGTTGAAGATGGAGTCGTGGAAGGAAGCACTGCTGCTCCAGAGCCAAGAGACAGAATTGTGTGGCCTATGGTGGCAACCACAGACGATGACCTCATTTTCCTGGTCCTGTCTTTCATTTTTTCCAGACTTTTCCAGTTCTCTCTGTTTTATCTGTCACCTCATTAGCTCTGTGTTCTAAGAGCTTTAAAAAAAGGAGAGGATTAATTCCTGCTCTCAGGAGGCAGAGGCAGGTGGATCTCTGTGAGTTTGAGGCCAGCCAGGTCTACAAGAGCTAATTCCAGGACAGCCTGGAAAGCCACAGAGAAACCCTGTCTCGAAAAACAAAAAGAGAGAGAGAGAGAAGAAAGGAGGGGCATGAAGGGGAGAAGGGTGAGACAGACAGCTTAGTGTGAGGGGAGGGTTAAGACCACAGCCTGGTGGTTCCCAGCAGATGCCCTTGGCGTGTACTGGGCAGGGTGCCTGCTGCTCCCAACTGAGACACCACCTCGTAAAAAGTTATTTGGGGGTGTAAACAAGAGCTAGTTCTTAGTTACTGTGGCATTTGTTCTCTTTGGACTGATCTTGTGAGTGCTCGCTGGAATGTCTAACTCTCCCTGTGACCTCTGGTTTCAGGTGCTGCTCGTGAGCAGCAGCCGCCATCCCGACCGATGGATTGTCCCTGGTGGCGGCATGGAGCCTGAGGAGGAGCCAAGTGTGGCAGCGGTCCGGGAAGTCTGTGAGGAGGTACGTGCTGTAGACACTGCCGTGTCCTGTCTCAGCCCCGTGAGTAGTGTGCTCGTGGTCACAGGGAGCGCAGCTCATGGCCAGCACATCCTCATTGCCACAGTGTTTGTCAGCCCTCTCTGCAGGAGGAAGGCTGTCACAGTGACCATACCTAGTGACATCTGCCAGGACTTTGTGACCTCTCTCGGCTGTCTTCCGGCACCCTGGCACTTGTCATAGATGAGGTTTCAGTGTTAACAGGAGCCTGCTGGTTAGTGTAGCTCGTGTTGTTTCTTACGGAGGACCAGGCCCTGGCTCCTGTGCCTGTCACCATGGCTCGTGCTGGCAACGGTACAGCTGGAGAAATGGTAGGATTTTAGTCATATTGTGTGCAACATAGGTGGGCTGATTTCTTTGACCACACCCCCACACCTTACTAAATATGCCAGGATAAACAAAAGTCAAATTGTGAGCCCTGAGTTCCCTTAGAACTTACAGCCTAGGAGGGCTGAGCGTGTGGCTCAGTGCTTTCCTAGTGTGTGCAGGACCCAGGGTTCAGGCCCCAGTAACTCTCCCCTCCAAAAAAGCTCATAGTCTGGGGGAGGGGCGCCCAGAGGAAGGAACTGGTGTTTCTCCACAGCCGGTGGTGGCAATGCCATGCTCAGCTCTTCCCGTGTAGCCTCACTTGGGACTTGGGACAGATGCAGCGGTGTGAGCTCTCCTGTCCCCATGCACTTCCTTGCTGCATAGAGTCAGTGTTTTGTAAATCTATTCACTTGTTCTAGAGGAAATTAAGCCTGATTATATGGACATAGAAAGTAGCACCCAGGACATACTAGGCCTGGGAATATGGTTCTGTGGTAAAGAGCTTGGCTAGCATGGTAAGGGACCACTCCTGGTACTACAAAAACCAAGCCAGAAGATTGTGTAGGCTGGGGGTGTGGCTCAGTGTGTAGAGTGGCTACCTAGCATTCCTGAGCTTAGGCCCTGGCACTGTACAGACTGTGGTCATGGTACATGCCTGTAATCCTAGCACTAACAGGTACAGGCAGGAGAGTCAAAAGTTCAATGCCCTCTTCAGCAACAGTGAATCAGGTAGGAGGTAGCCTGAGCTGCATGAGCCCATGTCAAACAACAGCAGAAACCTGACTGACGTTCATATTGGTTGAACGCTCTCTCTCTTTTTTTTTTAACATTTAGTTTTTTTTTTTTTTTTATTAGTTCAAATTAGGAACAAGCTTGTTTCACATGTCAATCCCTTCTCCCTCTCCCTCCCCTCACCCTCACCCCTCCTCCCCCACCTCCAACCTACCCCCAGCCCATCCACCTTCCACTCCCCAGGCAGGGTAGGGCCCTCCACAGGGGCTCTGCAAAGTCCACCACATCATCCTGGCCTGGGCCTGGGCCCTTCCCCATGTGTCCAGGGCAAGAGTGCATCCCTTCATGTGGGATGGACTCTCAAAGTCCCTTCCTACACCAGGGAAAAATTCTAATCCACTACCATGGGCCCCCTAGAGTACAGAGGCCTCCTCATTGACATCCATGTTCAGGGGTCTGGATCTGTCCTACACTGGCTTCCTAGATAGCATCTGGGGTCGATCCCCTTGTTGAGGCCAGCTGTTTCTGTGGGTTTCTCCAGCCTGGTACAGACCCCTTTGATCTTCATTCTCCCTCTCTGCAACTAGGTTCTAGAGTTCAGTTCAGTGTGTATCTGTGGGTGTCTGCCTCTGCTTCCATCAGCCACTGGATGAGGACTCTAGGATGGC